ATTAGATAAATTATTAATGATTTAGAGATAAAGATGACTTAATTGCAAATACTAGAAGATGAAGGACTAAAATCACATGATAAAAAGAGTTCAATTGGAAAGGGAATTGTTTCATTTTATTTCTCGAACTTTTTGGTGGAAATCAAGTTGAATAAGAATTTTGCCTCAATCTTGTTCTATAAATACATACTTTAGTCCAACAATTAAAGATGGGCTTATTGGATATCATCAACCACATATATTCAAGCCGAGCCCTAGGAGATTCAACCGAGCCTTAGGAGATTGATTTTACATATATTATATTAACCTAGTTTTGAACCTTAGTTTAATTAAAAAATTCAAATCTCTAATTGATTTTGTGAATAGTTTTACTTCTATTTTTAATGTTTGAATTAACTGACCACTAATTCATTGATTTTGTGAGCCATAATTACGTCAAGAGGCAAATTATTTGTTTAGACCATCCACTAAAAATTGAAAACTAGTTTAAAAGTATAGAGATACATTTTCTGGTTAATTTGATTGTTACATGGATTCTTAAAGCTTTAATGCGTTTACCTAAGGTGTATCCGAATTCATATACATAAATGGAATTGACTTAGTTAAATAGAATTAATTTGAACTCGAGAGAAGTAAATTAAATATGTTAGAAAAATTCGACTGGGTATTATAAAAATTGGTAACTGAGATTTAGAGAATAGCTATAGTAAACTCATGAATCCTAACCATTAAACCGGCATTAAAAAATCATCTTTTCCTATTTTACTATATTAAAAAGAAAAAAAGAAAAAGCACAAAAAGAAAATAACTATTCTATTTGTTTTTAATCAAATAGAAGTTGGGAATAATTTAACCAACGGTTACATAGTAATCCTTATGGGAATAATATCCGAACAAAAAAAAATAAAAATTCCCCTCCATGCTAATACCTTGTACTAGATGTGATCCGATTCGGTTCTCCTTGAACCTAAATTTTCAGATATTTAGCAAGTAGAACCGTCGGGTCCAAATTTAATTATAAAATCATTCAGGTTCGATTTCATTCAACTCAGTTAGGTTCGGTTAGGTTTAATTCGATTCTCGAGTTCTTCCATACAATAAATAAATTTTGTAATATTTACAATAATGCTACATTAATTCAATTAATGACATGTTTAATTTTAACTCTTACAAAATAATGTAGTCCAATCCTGTGATATCTTTTGTGTCCCTCTTTGTTGAGTTCTTTATAGATGTGGCCATTAAAATTACAAGAGGAAGATACAGAGCTCACAATAGTAAAGATAAACTTCTAATTCGATTTCCCCAGAACAGTAGAAACGGTACTACGATAGAATAAGAGATACATATACAATTTAGGTCAATTTGATTAATTAGACTTGGGCTAAAAATTAAAATTAGGAAAATTATATTTCGGATTTGGGCTCAATTAATTAGTCAGCAAATTTATTTAAAAATAATAATTTCATTTATTTAAGATAAAAAATTTAGGGATATTCGTTTTTTATTCGGTTTTTCGGTTCTAGAACAGAGAACCGAATCGAACCCATTGGTTCTTGATTCAAATACTTGTTTGGGTATTTAACTTAAGAAGAACCGTTTGATTCAGTTCAGTTCAGTTTGGGTTCATTTGGTTCGATTTGTGAGTTTTGTCCAACTCTATAACATGTCTTATAAAGATTGGCTATCCTTTTAAACCTAAATCTTGACATTTTTTGTGCACTACAACAAAAATGGTTTTCACAACGTTGCGAAAGACCTTTTGTCGTAGAGTAAAAGGATATGGTAACGTTTATACACTGTTGCAAAAGGCTTTATCTTAATGTTTTAATTTGTTTTTTGCAACGTTCAAAACTTGTTGGGGAAAAGTTATATGCAATGCTTTACGAATGTTGTCTAAACTTTTGTGTTTACCTTTCCACGACATTCCTTAAATGTTGTGATTAACATTTTCAAAACATTTTTAGAACGTTGCTTTTAACTTATTTGAAAAGTTTTTTTTAGAGTTGTCTTTACTTTTATTTTCAAGTTTTCTCAACATTCTTTAAATGTTGTCATTAACCTTTCGCAACGGTTGAAAAACGTTGTCTTTAATATATTTGCAACGCTTTTAGGGTGTTATCTTTAATTTTATGTTCACCTTTTTGCAACATTTTTTAAATGTTGTCTTTTCTTTTATCCTTAGTTTTTGCAAATGTTGTTGTATGTCGATTTTGTATATATATTTTTAATTAATTCGTCAGTTTTATATTTTTGTATTGACCAATATTATTAAAAACTTTGTTATATTTTTATAGAAAAATACGTAAATTAAATAACATAATTAAGTTACATCTTCTATGACCTTTTCAGACTTTACATTCATTCTTCTATAAATCTCTCTGTTCATGCCTTTTGTAAGTGAATTAAAATATTCTCTTAACTTTACATAATCAATTGTGATAATTCCATACGAAATTAAGTCTCTAACGATATTAATCTGCAATGCACATACGTTGAGACTTCGACTATACATGACATATTGTGCACGTGCCTTCAAATTAATAACTGTTAGCCTATCCCAATGAATATTGAATCCATATTGGAACTGTTTTCATGCTTGACTATTATCACATATATGAACGCATACTGAACGATCCAACATTAATTTAAGAAAAATATCCCAAGGCACAAGAATCATATAAATCCCCTAGGTCCAAATCAACTAGGAGAATTTTGATATAAGCAACTCTGTCACGGAAAGACTCGAGCCAAAAGTAGACCTAAGTCTAATCTCAATCCACAAAGATTGGTTCAAATCAAGAGCTATGAATTCCACAAAGTAAATGATCCTTATTTAAAGGAGACTATTTTCATTGACCATTCTTATATATTTATCAATTTTTCAAAAAATTTCTATATTACATTTTTAACCTCATGTAAATTTATTTAAATAGATAAGAATAAAATCAAATAAATTCTATCATTCCAAACTCATCCACTAATAGTATTCTCATTAAATTCTTTTAGATTTACGTTTTTGAAAAAGACTAATATTTATAAAACATCTTCTTTGCCAAAACGAACAATGGAAGCGACACTATTAGAGCAAATAGATGGGGACATAATAATATATGAAGTAGACTTTGAAAATTTTAATGATTATCTTTTATTGTAAGTTTGATGGATTTAGTATGCGAATGATTCTTGATTTGTATTTGGGTTTCAAAAAATTTGAATTTTATGTTGGGATTATATTTTCTTTTCTTAATTTTCTTGAATTTGAAACAATGATGGCTATTTTTTTTGTTGAGATCATCAAAAAAGAAAATAAATTTAGCATCCTTTTGGCTCCATCATTCCAAATTATAATGAGAGGAATAGTACTTTTTTGAAGAATATGCGATTAGAAAAGAAGAAAATTTTAGGTTTGTCTGTAATTGCATTTCATTAGAGAATGTATGGTTGATAAGAAGGGAGAGAAAAATGAATTATAATTTAATGAGAAATAATGGGACCATATGTGACTTAATCTTTTGTAAGATTCAATTAATGGTAGTTCTCAAAAATTAATGATGCCATGAAAATCCATGAAGGCAAAACCATGTGAACGGGTTGGGGTATATACTATATCATGATAAGACGCAACCTTTTTAATTCCCTAGTGGAAGAAGATGTAGCCATATCAACGACAATTAACTTGGATCAGAGGCGGCTCTGAGGACGTGTGAGTTGAGTGACTGCACAGAGCTTCATCATTGTAGGAGCACCAATTTTTTTTTATTTGTGTGTATATATGTATAATTATATATTTTAAATATTTATTAATTTTAAATTTTTAAATTTTAATTATCATGTTAAGTTAAAGTGCACAACTCATACCAAGACATTTTTATTGAAGTAAGGGAAATATTTCAGATGGTTTGGACTCCTTCATAGCTAATTTCAATGTGTTCTTAACTAATTTCATTTATAAATTATTTCTTTATTGATTGTATGCATTTGACTTGGTATGATATGCAATTGCATTAAGATACTAAAGTTAAGAATAATGTAATTGACTAGATATAATTTTCTTAAATAGTATCCTACTTTAAATAATGTCAATGAAAATAGAAAAGATGAGAAATTATAATTCGTAAGAAGAAACATTTTGTTGAAAATGTCACTATAAAGGACTTACAATTATTTGAAGATTCTTTCATAACCAATTATTTCATTTATATATTAGATCAAGTAAATTTTTTTGACAAGTTAAACACATTGAATGATGCTGATTTGAAAGTATATTGTGATAATCTTGACATTGTTTTAAGACATGTAATTTTTTGCAATCTTGGTGACAAATGTTTTGTTCGAGAGTTAAAAAATTTTGTGAAATCTTTTACCAAAAGAAACAAAGACGGGTTTTTTATTAAAATCTTATTTACAATCAATCATGTTATAATATCTTTGATATCTATTGAACAAGATTGGCTAGAAACGAAAGTTCAATTAGTTAATTTGCTTCTAGAAATGTAAGAAAAAATATTTTTACACAATTTGTTGTAGGTTAAAGTTTGCACGAGGTATCTGACGTGTTTGATTTCAAAGTTTTCTCATATGGAGGGACTTGAATGATTCTTTGTTGATGATATGAATTTTGATGAAGTTTGAGAGGTGCTTTTGAATTTTGTTCGTACTTTTCTTATTCACGACATTTAAAAAGATAAATAGTATTTAAGGATCATAATTTTGCAATGATATAATATTATTGATTTTTTTTTTTTTATTTCATGAAAGGGGCGCCGTGGCTTGACTTGGATAAACTATAAAGTACGATTGCGGAGGAAGTCCCTACTCCCGAACCTGACTCGGACCCTGCCACTGCTCGAGCACGAGAGACAAGTTAATGACAATAACCAGCAAAATATTCTGTAAACTATCACCATTTGCAAAACTCCGTAAAAAACATGGTACAAACATTAAGGGAGGAAATGAAAGCCATGAGACAGATAAATCTAGAATACAGGCTGATATGTTCAATGATGTGCTTCGGACGGATTCACGTAGCTCCCCATCCTCACCACAATCCCGTCGATATCTCGAACGTACCCAACTTTTTGTCCCCATTCTTTCTTCTCAGGCTCACTAACTGGTACGGCACCATTCTCTACAGCATTCTGATCCACCCACAAATAACAATCTCAAATCATCTCAATGTGCCAAACATGCAAAAAAATCTTAACAATCTCTTTAGAATCAATAATGGTCGAACGTTGCAAAGAGACCATTTTCCATATATTGAATGCAAGACTTTTCACTTGGTTTAGTTCATTTCTTAATTTTCAAAAAGGAAGTGACAAAATTCCGTAATTTTTTTGTGAAAAGACGATCATTTTGGGCTTTTTAACTTTTCTTGAAGCTCCTTACAAATTGAGCATCCATTTGTTTCTCATTTTTCAGCCATAAAAATGAAAAATATCACCGTTATCCATCACATCAAGCCATCAATTTTGAATTTCTATCTCGTGTGGGCCCAATAACAACTATATTTTTCATTTTTATTCTACAATAATGAGAATTAAACTGATACTGAGGTCCAAGGCAACCACCTCGGGCCAGAACCAACTCTGGAAATAATTATACTATACCTTGTAGGCAGAGTCCACATCTGAATAGTCGAAACAGACCTCGATCGGGTTCCTCTCATGGCTAGATTGTGGCATACGCACCTCGCCACTCAAATCATCCGTCTCGTGTTGGTGCGCGGGTGTAAATGCAATTGTGGTCTTCCCACTCTCCAGCTCACCCCATCTACACCAAATTCAATCAACAAAATTAATAAACATATTTCTTCCAACTATGTGAATCCCAAGAAATTATAACAAGATTCAGATATTTTATTGTTCCTTGACTGACATTAGATCATTTATTGCATTAATATTTCAATGTCATTTACCTGTTAGAGTGATCTAAGCGGCGCACTGGATAACCAAATGCCTTGGCGTAAAATGCAACAGATTTGGCTACATCTCTAACATAAACCACTGTGTATGCATATCTTGGATTCAGATTTGATGCCATTTTTCTTCTGCTCTTCTCGATTAAATTTGAATTGCCTTGGTCGGATCTTTATACATTGGATTGGAGATATATGAGTTTTACGCGTGGCAGTGGACACAACAAAGAGCATACACGTGGATGGCATGCAATATTTGAACGGGTCACATGGTGGATCATTTTAGCAATTGTGGATGGCATACACTACAAAGAGCATACGTGGATGGCATGTAATATTTAGGAGTCTATTTTAGCAATTTTCTATTTTTAATCATTTTAAGAGTATATTCCTCATTTTATAGTTTTTTTAATTTTATTTAAATTTATCTACCGAATTAGAGTTTCGCCTTGATTGGCGTTCATGTTAACTCTTTAAATATGTGTCAAATATTTGAATAACCTACATGTGTTTTGATTAATAATATCATAGTTTTTTTCCGTTAATGGGTGGATTCCAATATTTATCACGTACGTACATGTTTGTGTGTTACAAATAAGATTGATTATTATTATTCGTGTTTCATCTTGCGCCAGAAGAAGAATACACCAATGAATTGTGGAAAAGAATTAAGGAGATCATGTGTGTAAAAAAATCATATGCTCGCACAATCAGAAATAGTTGACTCAACGTAGGAAGATCTTTCAGGCCAAGTGTGGAGTCAATGATATTTTTTGTAGTATGATCATAGATAGTTTAGTTGTGAGGATGTGATCGCAAAGAAGCTAATAGATCGTCTGAAGTTGTCAACCGAACACAACATCCAGCTCCTTATCACATTGGTTGGATTGAGAAAGGTCCATCTATTCAGGTGTGACGCAGAACGGAAGTAAAATATTTACCAGTGTAAATCTTGGAAATAAGAAAACTGAAATTCTCCAAGAACGAAATTTGTATTCAATCAATAATAATGCCGGAAACGTTCAAAAAGCATTTAAATATGCGTTACAAGAAACCCTAAAAACATAAAATAGTAAAACGTTTCAAAAATAGCTAAAATTCAAAACGGAAAATATGGAAATTAATTATTCGGAAGCCTAAACGAAGGAATTTGGCTAAATTCCCGTGATCTCGGGCTTTGTCCCGAGTCCAATTTTTCGGGCCATTTCCAATCAACGAGTCAAATTTCAGCCCATTCCGACATCGTTGCGACAAATGACAAAATTGCTCATGGCGCGGTCTTTTTTTGTTAATTTTCTGTCCAGCACTTTTTCAAACTCCAAAGCTAGTTGTCCTACATCAAGGTGACTTGAATTTTTAAGTTACCTTTGTCCAAGGGACCTTTTACAAATAAGAAATTATTTGTGTCATTGTTGAGATGAATGCATGTTATATTTTATTGTTGCAGATCTTTATTAGTATATTTCAGATAATGATAAATCTTCATATCTTGATGACAACTTAGGGTCGAATTGTTCTAAAGTGGAAGGAAATGATGTGGAACGATTAGAAGAGAAAACCTTAAACCAATTGGAAGAGAGGAAACATAAGGAGCTACAAAAACGCGCATAATTTTCTGCTTGGGTATCTCATTTATGTGAGTGATTACATTTTGGATCATTTTCAATTTTGCACATTTTTTCAAATGACGTTGTCAAACTTTGGGGTCAAATTTCATCATGTCGGGATTTATTTTAGTAATTTTCTGTATTAAGTCATTTTAAGGATATTCTCATCATTTTAACAGTTTTTTGTTTTATTTAGATTTATCCATGGAATTAAGATTTTGCTTCGGTTATGATTTGTTTCAACTCTATAAATATGTGTTAAGGATTTGCAAATCCTACAGATGTTTTGATTAATAATATTATAAATTTTTCATTAATCGGTGAATTTCAATATTTCTCACGTCGGCTCTGGTCAAAATTCAATATTCATATTGAAACCGACCCATTCTATTGATTCTTGACCAATTCATATCCTATCCAATCAAAATAGGGGTACTTAAATAAATGCCCTTACTTTTGGGGCCATTTTAAAAGTCATGAATAGTTCCTTCATTAAACATCATAATATTAACGGTGTTAATGGATCTAATAGCCTCGTGATCCGAGCGCACACCGAGGGTGGAGGAAATAGTGGCCAATGGCCAGTTGACTTGATCCAATTTTCAAAATGGCCTTTGACCAGTATTAAATGAAAAAAAAGAGAGAAAAGATAAAATCAAAAATAAAATGTTTAGTTGCCTATTATGCATTTTGAAAAGAAGAGAGAAAATTGGAGAAAGAAAATGTAGCAGATCTACACTCTAAAATTACAAACGAAATAGACGGCTATGTTCATCTTCTAAACTTGACAATGTTAGTGTTTGTTTGAAATCTTTAGTATTTCATAGTTGTGAATGTAGAGATTTGATTTATTTTTATTTTTTATTGAATGTGTTAATTTAGGAGTTTAATACAAATATTGAGGTTTACTTATGATTAAAATGTTGTGTTTGAGGTAGTTCAAGCTTAGGTTCAGGTTGCGATTATTGAGGCAATTGAGGCTCAAGTGTAGGATGTGGTGATTGAAGTAATCCGAGATAAGTGGTGCTAATAGGTTTTTGTTTTCAAGCAGGTAAAGGGTGAGAGGCTTGAGCAGAGTCAACAACATGATGATCCAAATCTTTGAGTTCAAGAGAGGATAATGAATCTGAAAGGTTGTTTGGAAAAGAAAAATGGGCTATTAGCAATGAGGTTAAACACAGTGGTGAGGGGAAAAAATGGCTAGGAATCACTTGCCGGATGGTCAATGTTAGTGTGTGATAACTAAAAACCAAAAATACTGATGACGTGCAAGTGTGATGTTGGGTGAATAAGCAGGTTTATATGGGAAGACCAATTCATAAAAAACATGTTGGGGTATAAAGATTTTTTTTTTGGTACAAGGATGAAAGCACTTATAACCATTATGTTCATCACCGTAACCCTACAAAGACACGGAGAAAGATTTGGGATCAAATTTGTGACACCATGTGTCCCACGTTTATGGAAAGCATTTTGATCCAACAGCACAAAGAGGAGTAAATCGGATGAGTTCCGTGCAATTTAAAAATAGAGGTCTCAAAGTTTAGGAAGACACAAAACTAATCATAATTTCCTGCATAATGATAATATTGTCAGCTCACAAAAGTGACCAAAAATCCTTAAAATCATCTATAGAGAAAAGGGCCATTAACACACCAAGAGAAGTGTAAAAAATCAAAGGGTTAAAAAAAAGCTAAGGGATGAAATATCTTAGAGATTCAATATTGTACTCAAAAAATCCACCTCGGATCAAGGCAAAAATTAAAGTCGTCACTCCTGGAAATCTTAGTAAATCTCCAATTTAAGTGCACTTTCCATCCGAGATTCCGCCAAAAACTTTTTCTTTCTTCCTTTATACTAAAACTCACCCCAAACATACCCAAAAACCTTGGAAGGGGGTAAAATCCAAACAAATTTTCAGCACAAAAACTCTATTGCTAACAATTAAAAAAATGTAATATCTATTTTTTGAGGTCAACAACATATAAAATACTATATGTAGTCTTTCTAATAGCTTACACTTTTATATCAAGCGGTTCTACATTGCCCAATCATCAGACAATATAACAAATCAACTACTTGGTCACGTTGGAGGATCAATTTATGATATAGTCGATGAAAATTAGTACGAATCTTTCCCAATCACGAAACATTTCAAGATTTTCATTCTTGATGAGTCATAATACATTGAAGTATGAAAATGTCGATCTACCCGAGCTTGTCTCAGAGAGGGAATCATTTCACCGCCTCCTAAAATTGGATCAACCATCCGCGCTATGATGATGGAGATGAAAGGGGACGGCTAATTGCAGCGTGAAATTAATGGAGGTGAATGTATTCTACTCTCCAAGTGATGATTAAATCTTAATCAGTAGGACACATACATTGGTAAAATGTTTTGTCAATTTCAATTTACAAAACATTAATTTCAGAATTTCCACCTTTTAGTTTGAAAATACAAACTATAAGTACCAATTCACTGCTTCTCATCTAGATCCACGAATTTCCCTGTTAAAATATACAATCGTGCTATATATATGGC